AATTAATAATAAGTTATATGAACTTCAGAATTACAGTTAAATCCGAGGTAATTATAATAATTTCATATTTTGTTAGCTTATGAATAAATAGATCTTAACGTTACTTGTCATTAAGTCACGATTCGAGCACAATCCACCGTAGCATCTCAATCAAGTCATCTAGACCGAACTAGGCTGTGGCCGCCACTTACAAAATAAATCATTTGCGATTTCGTTTACAAAATAAAAATTTATATTATTTTTTAAATATTAATTACAAATGTTTCTTTACTACTTAACAATCTGTTAATGTTTTCTTATTTGAATACAATAAGCTATAACCGAATGATGTGTACTTATTGACATATGCATATTGTTCTATTCCAACGATTTTCCCATTCTCTTTATTGAAGTTAGAACTGATGTTTCAGTTAAATGATCCTAAGAAGACAGTTAAAAGAATATTTTACAAAGCAGTCACTCATATGTTAAGCATTTGTTTGTTTGTTTTTTAAAATGGTATGCTTTCTTTAAATACGTAGAACTTATTTAAGAAAAAATAGAGTTTTGTGAAGTTGATCCCTTTTTACATAATTTAACAAAGCAGAAGTTCATAATGATATCGCTTCATTTATCGCTTGTTCATTGACCATTTACGTCAATACAATGCTAACTTATTAGATATGAACAAATGAGAGTCTTGAAGAAATAATCCACAATCTTTTGAGTGTTGCCTTATGTATAACAGATGGTAGAATTGTAAAACTCGTAACGTGTAACTTGAAACCATCGTGCTGTCTGACGAAATTCATCGATATAGCTCATGGAACATTGTTTCATCAAAACTAACCACATGAAATATAAATCTCTCCTTGATTATTTCAAACTTCATCGTCGTCATTGTTGAAAGCTTCCTACTTCATCTGTTTTATTTTGTCAATATTTTCACTTATTCTTCTCTAGTCTATATTTTGAGCATTTTCGCTTGCCTTTTTAATAGTTAAGCTAAAATAAAAACAAAGAATATATTCATTTTGTAGAATGCTTCCCTTTCCTTCATGAAATATATATATATATATATATATATATATATATATATATATATATATATATATATATACTAAACATAAATTTGGGAGTTTCAATTATATCTGGTCAATATAATGTAGCACGTCGTCCAGAATAACGGCCAATGTTTTCTTTAAGTCATATCCCGTCAACTATGCGGTGTAAGGATCTTCAAAACCCACATTCTGAGTTTCAGCCAAAGCTTTGACATACTATCAAGAAAGATTTTTAATATCAGCTCGATATTGTACAAGAGATTGATTACTGTTATTTACCACCTAACATTCTCAAAATAGAATAACGAGAAAGAAAAAAAATGTATAGAACTCGATTAATTGGAAAATCAAATCCATTTTAATTCTTGACGACCGATAAGAAAAATTTGAATACTCGATCCGGTAATGAGACCCTGAAAATCATTACATATGTACTTTCTTACTGGTTATGTACATTAAAACTAAATAATTTAATTGACTACCAATCTATACTGATATTTATGTAGTTTATCTAGTGATCCACTCCAGTGGATCTTTTAATTTAATCCAAGTACATTTAGGAGTTTATACTAACAATATTTAAGCTCTAGTTTTCTTAAAAAAAAACAATCTAGCAATCTATATATTTTCTTTATTTGTAGCTGCAAAACTGAAACATAAAAAAACTGCTATTTGTACCACCCAAAGGAGAAGACAAGAATAAATGATAGATAAAGCTTTCGTTCATCTCTCCAAAATTACAAAGACAACTTTAACTAAAGACACTCATCTATATACAGATTTTACTGGCATTTGATCATTGTTCAAGTAATGTAAACCACTGATATAGTTGGAATGCAAGTAGATGTTACACTGAATTATTATAGAACAATAGTTATATTCAATAACTATCACTCTGTATTAATCAATACATAAAACTTTCCTAATGTTATTTTACAGTTATCTCTGTACATCCTTTTAACTAAGTGATATTCAGTAACTACTAAATTCTTCATTTTTAACATTTAAACACATTTGTTGTCACTGTGATTATCTGAATTTAATATTTATTACATATGAAGTTGGCTGTTTTTTAATCTAAAGTATATTAGATAGGAGGTTGTATCAAGAACTTTTATACATTAAAATTTTGCAGTCAGTAATTTCAAAACGACACCTAAAATCCTTCATGAAATAGACTGATAGATCAGAATATAGTCACTCTCGTTATTTCCGTTAGTTTTGAGTGACATTTATATTCAAACTCTTTATTTATTTGAACACATAAATATTGGTACACAGAGGCATCGAATATATATGTGCCATACAAGTCACTCGATTTTTGTGTCGGCCATGATACTGCCCGAGTGCTCAAACCCAAGCACGCGGTTTTGTTAGAAGGCAATATCCGGAGCCTTCGACCAAAAGGTCTGATCCACGATGAAGTGAAGCACCGTCAGGAGATGCAGTCTCATGGTAACCGGTGGCCAACGATTGGTTCATCCGCCATTCGTCTCTTCAGGATGCCAAAGCCCATGTGCGCCATTGGTTTGAAATCAAGATTTTCCAACTCTCTTAGGTGGACCTTCCTTGTCTGTCGGCTCAGATAAAGCGCAGACATTCACTTTTCATCCTATCTATTTTGTAAACAACAGTAGTGTTACGAGAAGGTAGTGAGTAGGACTTCCATGGCAGTGGATGTATATGCGTGGCCATATGAGAGTGTCTGAAGAAGGAGAGCTAACTCTCGCCACCCTCCGGGGTCCAGGTCATTTGGAAGCTATATTCAAACAATTAAGTTCGAACCTTATATTAAGATGTTCGAATTCTCATCAGATAATTTATCGGAAGATGATTGTTATTCTTATTCTATAGGAAGCGTAGAACGTGTTTAAATGAACTATATCAAATTTCGAAATATTGTAAACACGTTTCAAGATGATTTTAAATTCATAGTTTTCTTTTAACATATAATTATGCCGTCCGCAATGTCAGAATGTTATCATAATCTGGGGGTTTTGTAGAATTTAATTTGTGGGTGACCATTATCTCAGATTGAAAGAAACTGTGATAATATGTCAATTAAGTCTGAACAGCTGTTCTAATATGCAGCTCCTTAGTAGTATGAACCTTTGACACTGCCAGGATTTAAATTGAAAATCGCAAGGTATCATATCAAACTTTTAGCCTTAAGACTACTGGGTTAGCACACAAAAATTTATATTCTTCTCTTCAATAAATTGGCCATAATGCACATTATTCATTCAATGGTAGCAGACCATTATCATCATTATGACTTGTTTGGTAATCAAGATTTGTGGTTCCATGTTTCTTCGGAAATAAATAACTAAAAAACAACTTTGGGATAACTAAACAATCAACATTTTTATATTTGCTGATGTATAGAAGAGGAAACTGTCATCTCTTCCTTCTAGTTTCCGCATAGAAACGAAATAATATCGTCAGTTATTTAGGAACTATTAACGGATTAATGCACAAACATTATTCATCGTCAAGGTAATTCACACACGAGAAGTATATTTGCATAACGTACGTTTTAATCATTATACGAATTTAAAAATATACAGCAGTTTTTTTATTAGATTTTTATAATAATTACTCATAATAACAATAATAATGACAATAAAACAATTACATCAATAATTTTAATCATGGTAATAAAAATGCTGATTTAATTCAATGAGAAGCTGTAAAGAAGACAAGTAAAGTACAATAGAAAATATAAATTTAAAAATTGGCAAGAATATAACGCAACTCAATAATTTATAATAGACATTGAATCAAATAAACGCATTAAAAGAATATTTCATTATGTGAAATGACAACATACATAGGATGTAATAATAACAAAACAAATAGTTATCAATATCAGTATTAAAGGTTCAAATAAACGTATGTATTCGAATAGTATAATCATCAAATGTGTTAAATTATTAAATAGCAACGTATGTAATATTAAACGGTATATATATATATATATATATATATATATATATATATATATATATCTTCAATGGATAGCAAATAATTAGTAATAGTTACCAAGATGATTCGAGAATGGTAACGTTAAGTAATTAGAATTATACAATAGTTTGTCAATATAAATTTAATTTCCTTTTCAGTTGTTTGAATATACCATTATCTATGCAAAAAACAAAGATGGCGATGACATATACACACATGCATACACACACACAAATCAAAATAGACAATAAAAAAAATAGAACGTAAACAAGCTAATAAATACCAAATTATTCCTTCTCATAAATATGTTGTGTTGTTATTATATCTTTCTTCGAAAGAGAAGATAGTTGCAAAATGGTCTAATTCAGTTGAATTTGAAAAGAAAAGTTATACGAAATAAACATTTTAAAGACTGTGCGTAAAGACTGGAAAAAAAGATAAACAATTAAAAAATAAACACTAGAATAAACAGTAAACAACTAGATTCCTTAAGTTGTTATGTCGTAAAATAAAAAAAATTGGAAAACATAAAGCTATATATATATATATAAGCGATAATTTTCATATTACCTTATTACAGAGCTTCTATGGAATAGTTGTTTTTTTTAAAAACAAAAAGGCTAGAGAATTAAAAAGAAAATAACACTAATGACCTTGAGTAAATTCAAACAAACATGTATTACATCATCGTGACCAGTAAACCTAACTTTCATAAGATTCGTTTTAAACTTGCTAATTGTAATTTTAAAGTAATATTATTAATTAAAACAATAATAATAATATTAATATACCTAAACAGTTGACCCTGATATAAGAAATTATTTATGTAAAAATTCAATAAAATAATAAACACGTTTGAATATAAATAATACAGAAATTGGTAGAATATTTCAGTTCATAATTGAATCCAATTTGTTTTAGTTAAGCAGTTTTGTTTAATTAAATGACCCCATCTGATAGTGTCAGTAAGAGCTATAAAATGTGTATAAAACCAATAATAATAATAATAATAATAATAATAATAATAATAATAATAACAAAACACTTCATTAAAAGATTCACCTAAATTAATACCAGTCATAATGATTACAAATTAGTTAGTTGTAATTATTTAGCAAATGCAAACCTTCTATGTAATATATGTATTTGGAAATTATAATCATAATTACTATTTTCTTTCTGAAGATAGATTGGCAACAAAAAAATGATGAAAATTTATGTGTGTATGTGTTTATTATGTTGTATTCAAGTTTGTATTAGAAAAATTAATAAATACGTACACAATTTCGCATAGATTGATGTATTAATGATTAAACAAATACAAATGATGCAACACCTCGACCACATGTACATGATCTTTGTGGTATACTAACCATACGAAATCTACCTTGACAATCAGAAGTACGTAGTGCACGCCATCTAGTCTCAACATTTGGCAATCCAGATCCAGTGCATCTGTAACCTAAATCTTCCCTCATATATGTTGGATAACATGTCACACAGATTTGTTGACCTGGTGTAAGTAACGCTGAATGAGTAATCCATGATTCAGAATTCGAATAATTGTCTTCCCAATTTTTGTTCAGATCAGTATTTCCAACTGTACTGTATTGTTTTTTGTGGAGAAATGATTTACGGCTAAAAGTGATTGATTGACCATTATAATCATTATGTCGTTTATAACGATTAGGATAATAATAAGAAGGATACATATCTCGTGACTGTGAAAATTGCCATAACAAATTCTGTGATTGACAAGCCTGATTTGAATACGTAATCTCATATACTGCACAGTACCTGAAAATCGTAAGAAAATGATTGTCATTAAATGAAAACATCAAAACAATATTCAGTTTGAGTTGATATTTAAGTTCATTAATTTAAATTTCACAGTAAAACTGTTACCACTGTATTTCTTGAGAAAAAATACAATAAAAATATCTGTATAACGCTTCTGTTTAGAAGTATCATAATGATAAATTATTTATATAGTGAAATTATTATTGAACTCATTGTGTAATTACCTATACTTTTAAATAGGGTATATATCTTACCTAGGAACTATGAAGTCAATATCACTACATATTTTTATTGTGTTTTACATATATCTTCCATAAATAAACATATTTTCTACAGTTCTCTAGTAATAATGGTACATTAAATCCATGTGATTTCAGTGGTCAACGTTTCCGGAAAAATTGGATTTGGGTAGAACATAAAAGCTCTATTGTCTTAATAAACAACAGAGGACTTACGGAATTACATTGTTAGTGAAGTTTTTATAGTACTGAATATTAAACTAGGCATGATACGGTAATATTATCAAAAGTTTTTTAATTGACGTGTGATACATAATATGCCTATGAAATCTAAAGTATATCGTTCTTTATATGATATTTTTAATTATAACATATAGTCAAATGCAAATAAACTGATAACACTGTTCCGACTGAAGTTAAATTCTGTGTTTTAAATAATAAAAAACGCATCCCTTACAAATTGATGATCTTGAATCCGGTGATATAAAAGTAATAACCATACCAGTGGATATCGAAATAACTATTCAGTGTTAACTAATTTATTTTAATATACCTGAATGTTAACAAATAACAATAATGGGAATAATGGCATCATATCATTCTTGTATTCGGTTTTATAACCTTCTAAAGATTTATTTATAAATTAGCAATTATTCACTATCTATGTATTAGTCATAGAAATTATCTGTCTATAAACTGATATGATGATTATTCCTAAAATAAAATAAGAATGTTTCATTAGTTATTATCATCACCCATCAACATATTTTATCCTGATATCTTTGAATATCATTGACGTTATGTTTTTCGATTAATAATTTATGATTATGACCTGTCTAATTGTTGACATTTCATCTCTTACATAATCAAATATTAATTATCTTGTTGTCATTGCAGTTTAATAATAGAATGCTCTTCATCAAACTATTTAAATAAATCATTTATGGCACTTATTATTATAGACAGATTATTAATAGTTGGACATTACATGTGTGTTTCAAAGTCAAAAGAATACAAATACAGTGACCTACTGGAACACCTAAATTAGTGATACTATTTAATTGCTGATCAAATGATTAGGTAAAAAGAAAAAAATCAAGGGGATCCACCTATCTACATATCATCATCAGATGTACTACTTATTTTTGTTCAGACATTTGACTGTATATAAGATATATATATAAACTGACGACACTCATTTGAGGATTCGAGTTTTGATGAATACGTCCTAGGTTTGAACTCGATACATCTAGTTCAGCTTTGAAGAGTCAGATTGTATTATTTATTTTTGCATTATTATTTAACTTTAGATCTAATCTACAGATATGTAACTGATCACTGATTCACATCAACCAACTTTTTAAAAATATTCTACCGTTTATTTGATTCTTTGCACATCTTGACACATTTAGAATATTATAAATTCTAATTGAAATATAGTTTATTAAACCCTAGAGTGGCTATCAAGTTGGCCGACAGAAAGATTGCATATAGTCTTTGAAAAAAACTTTTAGAAAGAGCTCTGAAATTATTTTTGCCCCACTCTAGAATAATTTTAATCATTGTTGAATAATAAATACTCATATAAACATTCTGAGGAGTACCAAAAAGTGAATATAATAGAATGTACTTTATCATCTTCTTTACTTTTGCCATTAGAGCAACATAAATACTCGTCGAATCAAATGCAATAATCAAGAGATTTCAATTAGTATTTGGTAACTTGAGGAGTCGTGATAACCATTTGTTGAATTATTATATTTTATGAGCAGTAAACATTTTTGCATTGATGTCTAAAAGCATTGAAACAAATTCTCTAGCAATGTAAATTGCTATTTCAATGGAAGATCAGTGTGTTACAAGGAGAGAACATTTAAAATCTAAAGAACGTCATATTATTACTTACGGATCAGGTTCTGGTTGTTCAGTCTTATTCATTTTTATTAATCTACCAAGATAGAGTTTACGTCGAACATCAAAACGCATATCATAACGTCTAGTTAAATCCAATACATCTCCACGTACGGGTAGTAAATGTGCCACTTCAGCTGTTATAAAGAAAAGATGTAGAGAAAACTAAAAGTCATATGTCATCCATTAATATAACGTATTAATGTATATCAATTCCAACGTAATTTATTGACCTCAATTTTTGATTTATATAAAATAGTGATTCGTTTCACAAAAATTAGGTAAAAGATGGATTTAGAGTGATTTTCAAGTGGAATAAACTTATGCTTCAAAAATGTTGGTGCATACACATGATTAAAGCGCTAATTGTCTTAAGGCGATTATTCGTAATTCAGTTACTCGGTTACCAAGTAGGTATCGACTCTGTAACGTAATATAACAACTTTAGATATAAGAGCTAAAAGTTCTGGATTGAAAGTTTTACTGAGTTATCAGACATCCCTGTCAACTATTGCCATACGAATTCAATGAGTGAAGTCTCGCCGAGGCTCCCGGTCAATATAGCTCGACAATGCATACACTATATTGCGATGTCATGTGGTTAAGGCTAGCCAATAGGGGACTGGATGCAAGTTTCGTACGATTCGGTACTCGTCAGCAAGACTTACCTGTAATGTCTAGAGAACTGATGTTTTGTTTGTGATTTTAATTCACATCACTTAGTTTTACAGTCTTAAGCATTATCACTAAGTTATTCAGTCCACAACTGACATGCCGCGGATTAAAACATTTACACATAATTAGTCACTTAGTAGTGGTGAATGGCATGTTAGTCTAGTCTTGATTCTAAACCCGGATTAAAGCATCTATCTATAACTCGCTGATTTTCGATAATTTTCCAAATGATTACAGTGTTTGATAATAACTACAAGTTCATAAACTATTAGATCTCAATCAGACATTCCAGTTACTCATTGAAATTCCGATGTTAATTTCGATACTGATTACTACACATATAAGAATAAAAAATAACTGTTCATAACTGTTTCTAAGTGCTTCTCTTTTGAAAAAATGACATTACATTGATTTATTAAACAAAAACTCTCAATGTTTGTAATGGATGAATACTTTATTACTTATAGAATTATGACAAAAATCAATAAACAATAAAACACCAGTTTTATGTATTCACATATCAAATCAAACCTTGTTACATAACCTAGATCATTGTGTAAATTGTGTAAGTCTTTTGATGATTTGTTTTATGATTTCTAATCTAATGATATGAACATTAAACAGACATCCACTGGTACATTGATATGTTGCATTTTTGTGTATTTAAAAATACTTTAACCATTTAAACTTAGACAAAAAGTTAGTTTTTTTTAAAACTTGTTCGTATTAATGAAAATTGTTTATTTTTTTGTCATTCTTATCTAATAGTCAGCATTGTTACTCTAGTATGATGACATGATAACTGTTATTGTTGAGTTCATGAGTTGGTTGAACAATTTTCTAACTGTAAATTTTAGTGTTTCAGATTTCATTGTTACTTGAATTCAATCAAATAACAATAATAAAAACAGTTGTTGATATACTATTTTTGTCTTTATCGGTAGTACATAAAATTAACACGATAAGTATAAGTTGTTTTCAGCCTGGTAGTTAGACAACAGACTATCCGTAATTATCCAACTGATATCTATCAAATGGTATATATATTACTTAATTCGTCATTTGTTTGCCTGGTAATTAGAAAACAATGTCTACTATAATGAGTTACTAAAGATCAGACCTTTATGAAGCTTTGATTCGTTTATGAACGAATAAACGCCTAGTTAATCCTATTCATTGATCATTAGACTGAATAGCACTCATGCATTTTACTTATTTTCTGAATACAAATTATTGTTCGCCTCAAATGGAAGTTCTATGACTGCAGATCAGATTAATGAGTCGCGATATCTATAGAAAACAGCTAACCGTAGAGTCTTTAATCAAATCAATGACTAATAAAGTTTCAATGGAAAGAAAATATAAATTTACAGATCTACCGAAAACTATTGTCTGCTACTGTGTTATAATAATGACAGTAATTCATAATATCAGGTTATTGTTAACAGATTGGACACATTTGAAGATTTCTTTAAAATAACCATTTGATATTGACTATCGATGTGGTATAAACCAGTGAAAAATGATCAACTAACACTTCTTATTGTTAAGAAGGTCTAAAGATAACATAGATATTCATCATTCCTCAGATTTCAGTATTTCATAATCTTACGCCACTAAGTAATAAAGACAAACAGTAAAAACAATGTATCTCTCTAGTTACTAGTTGATATCCATGTAAATCTGGCGGAAAAATTTCAATTTATTTCTTTCTCTGATTGAATAAAACAAAGCAACTTTGATGAAAATTAAATGCTTCATAAAAATTCAAGTTACAGAATATACAAACCATTACTAGTGTTCTCAAAATAATATCTGAAATAAGTAACATGGAGAAATGTTTTATATTGTGTTCGTTATCAACTTGTATTCACTACATTCATTATTAGTTTTAACAGTGTTTCTTTCAATAATCAAAGTCTTCGAAAACTCTTTAATAAGTGTCAATCATACTATTTCATCGCTATATGTACAGTTAGTACATCAAGTTTTAAAATATGTTGAATAGTTTGTTGTAATACTTTCAATAGTGTTTCCTTAAATGACCTTTCCCCTTTTTTTTCTTCTATAAACCAATGTACACTAATCCAAAAGGAATATAGTGATTTCTGCTCCTCATAAAGTCTTGTAAAAGTTCGTGTTGCAAGAATCTATATAAATGATTTATGTCTCTCTTATTCACTATTGGTTAATATATTACTAATTAAAATCTATTCCCTAACAGACGTAGATTTAGTTTCAAATAGTCGATTGGGACTTCAGATAACAATTTTAGATTAAATGATAATTAAAATCGAATTGAATAAAGCAAAAACATCTTTTTTCAACCATCATGACAACTGATGAAACATATAAACATGCTTGACCTTGACTTGTTTACTTATCACTGTGTTTGTTTCCCTAAATTGCTTCTTGATAATTTTCAATTCCTTCTTTTTTTTATTGCTACTTTGAATTTTTTATTGTCTAGTTTTTTGCAAAATAAAAAAAATATAAAACCCAGTGTACATTTTGACAACACTAAAAAATCGCCTCCTGAATTTTCTTTTACCTCATTATCACCATTTTACTTAATGATTCTAGTCTATATGATGCCGTTCGCTGATTCATACAACAATAACAACAACAATTAATTAATTGAAAATCCAGCTGATCGGTTTGTATTACGAGGTTGTAAAAAAAGAAATGCATTGTTAATTGTTGATTATATTTTTATATATCTGTGTAAAACTACGGTTGGATTTCAAGGTATTATTGTTCAATAATGAATTATTCATCAGTCTAATTATTAACCGTTTAAAATGATATGTAAGCCTGTGTGTGTGTGCTTATTTATGTGATAGGGTTGTTATGTATAAATATAGAGAAAATTTTCTTTTGAAAATAAAATCCGTTTGTACACATGGTCAGTTTATCAAATGACAAATAATGAATCTACTCATGAGTAGAATAGATAAATGAATATAAAACTATAAAGAAATAGTCAAAACAAATACACATGCTGATGATTCTAAATTAAATGAAGAATAAACTAAGCATACCAGCATTCTTCTTGCAAATTAACTTTATTTGTTCTTTTTACTTCCCTCTTTTTGTTGTTGCTGTTATTATTATTATTACAATTTTATTTCTTCGTATTTCGCTTGGAAATGTGTAAATAAAACCTGTTTTTGTTGGGTGAATAGTTTACTATTTCTGGTAATATATAAACGAATCATTTTATATTATTGAATAAAGGTCAAAAATGATAAATAAGGTATTTCGGTAGTTTAATATGAGTCATTGCTTGACCTTGTGTACATACCAGGTTTCTAATTTGTTTTTTTATTAGCTTTTAAGAAAAGGAGTATTTCACTTTTACCATATCAATAAACTGTCGTTTGAAAGACAATGAAAAGTAGGTATTGAATTAATTTTGTTTGATTAAAAACAAAGTAACTAAGCAATTGACGGTTTATCATTTTGTTTACTTGAATCGAGTTAACCAATTACACGTAAACATTACCTTATATTAGTAGAAGTAAATATCCTACTGTTATTATCAAAGAAATTACTTATTTGAATGTAAGAAATTATAATGATCAGATAGTGAACATCGAATTTATATATATATATATATATATATATATATATATATATATATATATATATATATATATATATATATATATATATATATCTAAGTGTTAATCTACCTTTAATATCATAAACATAAGGTACCATCAGCGTTCCAGATCTTCCAAATCTTTTCGATGCACAATTATGTCCAATACATGGTCTTGTTTCATTCAACTCTGGACATGGCTTACCATTATTACTTGGTTTAATTTGAATTTGTCTGTAACGTGTACTAACACTTTGACCACATGTATATTCACAACTTGTCCAAGGTCCCCATTCACTGACTGTACAATCCACTTCTGTAATCAAATAAAATACAAGGTGATGTCTTATGTATTAAAGATATCATATTTATTTATATCAGATGTAACTAGAGTTGAGAATTAAATTTATTACTATCAGAATATAAAAAGACAATAGTTATATTACACTAAATTGTAATAATGTAGTTCTAAATAGCAAATTTTTAAACGTTGTTGACAGTTTCACCATTGAACAATAAAAAACATCCCTAGAGGATAATCTAAGCACAATTAATGGGACGACTGAACTCCCTGAAAAGTGTACACAACGATAGAAATACCAATTCCGTAGACTTTATTTAAATACTTTGCAAAATAAAACTTGAAACCAAATGAAGTGTGTATAGTAATCAAATTTTTTATCTCTACTTGTCTTTATGGACAAATTGTTATAGAAAGCAATTTAAAAATAAACAGACTGTTAATAACAATTTAAGTATTTTTAACAACGACTAAAGAATATGAAACAACATTATTGTAAACAAGGATATTTAAAAACTCATCTTTAATTTAAAATAGTTTTTAGTTTTTGGTACTTTAAACCACAATGAAGAAAAATAATCAGGACTATTACTGTTAAATTACAATTTATAACAATATATATTTCAGCGGTTCAGATTATGAGTTAATTAAAGCTAGACATCAATGGAAAACCTGGAAACACTGAGCGACCATTTCGTCTTATTGTGTGACTGCTTCACAGTACGCTTCAACGATCCAAACTCCCAAGGTTCGAACACACGATCTATCAGTCTCGCACATGAACGTTTAACCATTAGACCACTGAGCCGGCAAGCAACCAACGGTGTTAGTGTCTAACTTGAAGCAATCCACGAAATTGTGTGACACATCCAGCATTGTGTTCAGTGAGTTACTATCTCACAAAAACTCTGGTTGAATTGATAGGTCCCGGGTTCGAATCTCGCGAGTTGGGATCGTGAACGCGTACTGCGGAGGAGTCCCACAATAGGATGAAATGGCCGTCCAGTGTCTCCAGGTTTTCCATGATGGTCTAGTTTATTTGTCTGCTCACTATAATTTTGACATTTAATCCATTATGTAAAAGTATATGTGAGTTCGATTGGGCGTATATCTGTACATCAATATTTATCTATTCTCCTATTGGTTGTAACACATAAGCAATCAATAATTTATCCATAATCGTTTGACACATAAATATATATATACATTTTTATCACTCTCTCTCTTTCACACAAACATTCATTGGTTTCCCTGTGTGCTTGCTTTCTGCACACTTGCGGATTTTATTAATCTTCAACAATGAACTATCTTTATAACTGGTGTTTAGACATTTGAATAGTTTTGAGTAAATTCATAGATGAACAAGAATTGGATCGAACTAGAAAAGGAGGCCCAGGACAGAGTGGATTGTAAAGTGCTGGTCGTCAACCTATGCTCCATTGGGAGTAACAGGCGTAAGCAAGTAAGTAAGTAAGTAAGTAAGTAAATTCATAATTGTACTAGGAGATTCAGCCTGCATTAAATATTCAGTTAACGGGATATACTATTTATTGGAATCAAATATAAAAGAAATAAGCCTCTACAAATTAATTATAAAAATGAAAACGTTATAAACGATATATAGATCTATTTGAATTCTTTGTAAATAATAATTCTGATTGTTACCTTAATAGTTGGATAGATTATTGTACAGTAGATTCATTCCACTCTTTTCTTTGCTTACTTAATGTGTTTTTTTCAGTAGCCATAATCATTATTATTTTATTTATAGTTTTAAGTCATTTTAAGAAATTTTAAAATAAAAGTCAAACCGATTGTACATAGAATAAAAAGTAAAGTAATAACATGACGTTGAATTATAGTTTCTTGGAACTGGTATCATTATACTCAAAAAGGAATAAATTTTACGTTGATAACATTTGATGAATATTTTAATTTTAAGTGGTTCGTGAAAGTTCTTATGAGATCCTAGATCTTGATTTCATGTTAGTTGACGCTTATTAGCATGGTATACATGTAATATTGAAAGAACTGATAATCCCTGAAGGATCCAAACTCCTTTCAAGTTCTTCGATGCAAAACAAATCTAAATATTTTTAGCTCTAAGTCTCAACAATTTAAATTTCATTGTTTTTGTATAAACTTATATTTCATAGTGTTTTTCATTCACTAATTTTTGTGAAATCTATTTATCATAAGTAATAAGATAAGAAATGTTTACATTTCTCAGCTTTCAGTTTCATTGAAACATTGACGAAATAATTTATGACTTCACCTTTTTTATGTAACATAATCATCTTTTCTTATTCTTCATTTTCTACAAACACTCGTTTAGTCTAATGACCATTTTTTTCCTGATTAGTTATGAGAGTATCAAATAGTCCATGATCACCGTTACAATACAATATATATATATATATATATATATATATATATATATATATATATATATATATATATATATATATATATCGAATAGCGATTTAATAATTGAACGCATGTATAAATGAAATTGACTGTAACAATAAAGACTTTTATTTCTCTTTCCAGTGTTCCTGGTTTCTCATCTTTCATGTTAAATTATCAAATTTATGAGATATATAGGATGGTAAATATCTCATTGATTATTGTAATTAGTTGGAAATGAAAAGGAAAGTCATTCATTATCATGATAGAAAAAAAGTTTTTATATCTCCGTTAGTAATAATAGAGTAATACTGGTAAATATTATTTTAAACTTCCTGTAATGTAATAGGTTTTTGTAAGTGATAAAACAGATAATCGACAAATTAAACAGAGTAATACAACATAAGTATCGAGTTATGTAAAAGATAAGAAATAGATTTAAATCAGCTGATATTTCATAACCCTCTATCATTGACCTTATTGTAAGTCATTCATGTATAAATCTCATCATTGTATAAATGAAAATGAGAAAACAAAATAGATAGAAGACGACAGATGGAACACACCTGTAATTTAAATACAACTATGCTATACATTTGAATAATTTGATATTATCATAGAATGATAATAACGAAGTGATTACATTTTTGTTGCTGTTGCTATCATTGAATTATGTATACGTTCAATATACAATATTACAAATACATAGTAGCACAGATATAATCTTTTTTTATTTATTCATTATAGTTAAATATAAAGACACGTGTTTAAATTTAGGTCTGAGTGTATTTCTTCCATGTCAGTATATAGATACCATTATCATTTCTATGTATTTTATGTATGGGGGGAATTTTGATCAGATAATATGTTATGGATAAAAGCAACAAATTTAGGTGAAATATTATTTTAGGACATTTTATTTTTTATTTATGAATGTAATCGATATCTTCTAGACATTATTGATATTGTAATTTCAGAAACTATGTAATGAAGTGGTTAACTTTTTCTTCTTCTTCTTCTTCCTATTCTTTTTCAAACATTCCTAGTGAATACTTAGAATTGAAGTGTACTAAGAAAAGTTAATAAATATAGTAAAATGAAGAAAAAAATGACTATTTTGTTAAATAGAAATATTGTCCCTATTATAAGTCACTTTGAATCTATTGTATTTCATTCTAGTTAGTTGAAAATTAATGATTTAATAGAATAATAAGGAAGGAAATGAGTACATTATGATTTCATTATGACCAAATGACTAAAGTAGTTTTTTTGTGGTTATTATATGTTTATAAAATAATTAATTAATGTAAAGTATTTGCATTATATTGTCAAAATAATGAAGAACTAGATAATAACTTCCAGTTTATTTCTACAAACTTTAAAATATAATATTAATTTCAACAGTTGAGATAATGAGTCAATTGAAGCTAGACAACCATGGAAAACCTAGAAACATTAGACGGTCGTTTTGTCTTATTGTGAGACTCCTCAGAAGTTCGCGTCCACGACCCAACCTCGCGGGATTCGAATCCAGGACCTATCAGTCTCGCGCCAGGTACTTAACCACTAGACTACTGAGCCGGCATCCAACGGTGTTAATGTCTAACTTCAACTAATCCACGAAATTGAGCGACACATCCACCATTGTCATCTCAGCTGCTGAAATTACTACAATTTCCACAAAACCCCTTCTGATACTAATATTAATTATCATATTTTTATATGGAACATTTAATAAGTTTTAAATAGCTTAAAGGTAATGAGAAATAGTCTAGTATCCCATTGTAAAGTATAGATGATATAGTAGGGAAATGAATGTTAATTCATTTAGATGGAAAGTGCTTTGAAAGCGTTAAACAATAAACAATGATTTTATTTGAGTTTGTTTATTCAAGACATTTAATTCAATCAAATAATTAATGATCCACGAAATGGTAGAAAATCTTTATAGTATGCCTAAATAAATCAAAATGTGATTAAAAAGATTACTGACACCAGGATGCTTGGTACCTGTGTGGTTGCGCCACAGGATTAAGCCGTACTATTCAGATCGTAGCGTTAAAGCCTATACGATGTCTGGTTCTCATGTGAAGCGGGATCGAGCTGTACTGTTTCGGTTGTCACACGAGAGTCTGGATGGTGTCTGGTTCTCCTGAAAACCAATGTAAAATGACCCTGGTCCACAGGCGTATATTATATAACCATAAAGATCACTGCCACATAAAACCATTTCGTGTACCTTTGAGAGACTTTGTACATAGATATTTTAAAGGTTGTGGGAAATTGCTCTATAATCTAGCAACAGTTGTAATCACATAAAATATATTAACGGATTCTGTCGTTGATGTTAAATTATTAGGGAGTTAAACAATAAATATGGTGTAATGTTAAATATCATTCAGTAATCGATTACAACTTTGTTCAGTCGATTTAAACTTCATGTTGTGTCCTAAATCGAATGATATTATATAATACTATAAAGCACTATAGGTGTAGAGGGTTAGGAAAGATCAGTGATTTAAACTGCCAAGTTATGATCCTGAGCTACCTATTTGATAGATTACGTCAAACGTTCGAGTTGTATCTAAAATGTTTGATCACCCCCATTA